AACTGAAGGGGGGGGGGGGGGATTCATTCTCTATTATGCAAATGATAAAGCATTAATTGCACAAGAGTTCACCAAATCGCAGTGTTACATATCAAAATGTATATTGTAATAATGAAATCGCAAACAAGGGATGATAAAGGTCCGTTTGATTTATGACGCTCCTTGCTTTCATTTGAAAATACAAATAAAGATACAGCTAAAATTGATATGGAAGCTAATATAAAGAATCAGAATAAAGTATTTGATAAAAGGAGAGATCCTTCTCTTCCACTGACCTGTAAACTCCAAAAGGTTTTGTAGAAGTTGAAATCAATAGCAATACCTAAAATAAAGAAGCTGATAAATACATGCAGTTCAACATGAACCTAAAGAAACTTGGTATTTAAAGGTAACATAAGAATGGGCAAAATCAAGAATTTAGTACACCATAATTACCATCAGGGGTCTCCTTCTCGTATTTTGTCTCATTTGACGTATTGAAAACTCCTTTTATATTGACAGCTGTAAATAAGGAGAAGAAACATAATAAATACTTATAAAATTAGGATAGACCATATAAAGTTGCTCTTATCAACTGAAAAGGAAAATACCAGAGCGTTCTGATAATGGGAAAAAATGAGCGAGAAACATTATAATTCGTCCACAAAACACCACATCATTTGCCTGCAAAATAAGACCATCTGGATAAATGAGAAGTTCAAAATTTTAACATCAATTAGTTACAGGAAAAGGAGAGAAAAACCAACAGATTGTCCAAAATTATATCTGGTAGATGGCAACAGAGGTAAGGGGTACATGACAATTGCAAGCCATTGAAAGAAAAACAAAACTGAGGTCTAAAAAAAATATAAAGAACCACGAGCACTCTAAAGAGCCAAACCTTTGACAACCGACGAAGAAGTTGATTGCATGTTCTCAACATCACAAGCTTTCCTCTTGCAAAAAGTTCTGGCTATATAGAAAAATGAACTTAAACTTCATCATGAACAAAAGACATGCAACAAAACATACAAATGAACAAAACGGTAGTGTACATATGTAAAGTAGTACATATAAACACAATCAGCACACCTTCCCAAGAACATCTTGTTTGCTCTCGATATATGCAAAGACATCTTTACAGTTTCTCATTGTGGACATTTCCGTCAAATCTTCTAAAAGCTGGAATATCATACCACCTTCAACATGTTCTTTCTCACAGAGATACAAAACAATGTCTGCACAAAGAAAATAAGAGCATTAGAGAGAGACTGACAATGAGCCCATTAAAGTGGGAGGAGAACGAGAAATAGAGGGTAAGCAAAGAGTCTAACCAAATAATGTGGCACAGATACAGTTTCTAGCTTTCATGTATCAGTTTTAGAGGCAATAACTCTGCCATAGAAGGCAGAAATCTTTTGCAATCTTGAGTTTTCTAAATATGGCTTCCTAGTATAATTGGCTTAAATTAGACGAATTAAATATGTCATATAAAGATATAAAATTGAATATCTAACTCCATGTCTTGCCCTAGTTTACTAGGCACCAACTTATCTTTCTGCTCTGAAGTCTATTCCATTAAATTTATACAGATACTTGTCTTCTAATTGAATAAGTACATAGTCTTACATATCATTACTTGGTACGATGCCAAGCAGTCAGCCATCAAATAACTTGAGAAGATTACAAAGACAGCCCAGTGATAATTCAATATTACAAAAGATCCATCTGTATAGATATTATCATCTACATCCTGATTTATTGCGTGATGATTTTATTGGAAAAGATCGAAGTCGCAAAAGCGATGTCCTCGACATTTCTAGCACTACGATGTCAATCCACTTAGTAGATTATTTGCTTTATGAGGAAATCTCAGTGCTCGGTGAATGGCTAGGAGTTCCTGAGTTGGACAGTCAAAAAAATTTCAGGATAACAAGTCTAGGACTCGAACCTCTGACATCCGCCGCAGGGTAAACCACAACCTCCTTTATTCTAAGAAATTACAAAATCCTATATGTAATATACGTTTTCCTTTTTCCCTTTTATCTGATGTTAGATTTACATTATTTTGTTGATCTTATTTTTAATTTTATACAAGCAAATTATTTTTAGCTTACAGATTTTATCTTTCCCTCTTTTTGCACGAATAATTAGATCTCAATAATATTTGTCAAAATTAACTTTTTTATTTTCCTAAAAAGGAATAAAATAGAGAATAAATTTTAACTAAAATGAAGAAAACAAAACAAAAATTACATTGATACTATTTAATGTCACTTCATTGCATTTTGGTATTACAATAAGTCTGAACTTTCATGGTAAAACTGTTATGAGTATAATAAATAAAATTAAAGAAAATATAATTTTATTTGAACATTATTCCAAAAATTTAAAGATATTTATTTTAACTAAAAACAATGTTTTCATTTAAATCAAATATCTTAAGAAACGAGACAGTTAAATATTATTGAAAAATAGTTTCAAATTATATTATAAATGCATAAGGGTAAAATAGGAAATATAAATTATGGCCGACAAAGGCAGCTGTTATAGAAAACAAACCTCATGGTTTATTTAAATTTTGAGAAGTGATGCAGCTATAATAGTAAGCCCCTGTTTGGGCACAATTAAAATGAAGTTTTGGGGAAAATATGGTATAGAATAGATTTTTTTTTTTTTTTTTTTTTTTTTTTTTTTTTTTGGGGGGGGGGGGAGTGAAGGAGTGGTTTAAATATAAGGAAAAGTTTTAGGTTTACGTGTAACATTATTTTATGGGAGTGTGTAGTTGAAAATGAGTTTTGAAAAAAATCATTTTTGGAAAAATGGAGCCCAAACAGAGGCTAAGTTACTTCAGGGAGTGTCTCTTCTAAATTTTATGCCCACGTAGTGTTCTCATATAAACTTAAACTGCTTAACCTTCCAATCTCCATTTTTTAAACTCTCACTTTCAAGCCCACTGCACCACCCTCTACTAGTATTTTCAATTTAAACTGAAAAGCTCCTTCTTGACTTGACTTAGCAGTAAATTTAACATTTAATTTCTCCTCTGCCTTCCTCATTTTTTAGCAAGAAAATGGCCAATATTCCTTTGAATGCTTCAGCTACAATTAACTACTTCAAAATCACCAAATCCAGAAAATGATAGTCCCACATTTTATAGTTCCAAAACAAAATAAGAAAGAATCTTGTCTTCCCCTTGTATGCCGATAAACATGTGGAAAGATATCTAAACATTAGTGTGACCTCATATATCTTCTTCTAATATCAAATCAAATTCTTCTATAGGTTCGTTCTTTAGCCACCAATTCCATCTGATGAGAACGTGATTGTGGAAAATAACCTAAGCCAATCGATCTAAGTGATCAACTACAATGAAGAGGCCTTAAAAGTCCGTTAGAATCCATCTCCAAAATTTTGAAAGAAGTGAACAGAAACTGAATGACAGAGGAACCAATATCAGCACTCAAAACTCCCACGGAGTTAAACTACCAAGATGAACCAAGAGCATTAGAGGTACCAAATCCGCCAAATGCCTTCAAGTTCACCAAAAAGCACATCCACTTGTATTCATGCAAACGCACTCCTATCCCGAGATTCTTCAATCACCTCTTTCCATCTTCTTCATCATCATCATTGAACTATTTTTCTAGCTCAGTGGCTTCAATTTCATGTTGTAAAACTACCCTCCTTTATTCCTGTGTTCGATTAGTTTATTATGTGATCAAGCTCTTTTCTTGTCCCCTCCAACTACCCCACTAGGACTTCACTCCTTATTTGCCAACTAAACTGCGTCATTTCTCCTTCCAGCATGCTTTTGTGATTTGCTTATATCAAAATGTTATGATTAGCGATGCTATATGTTGAAATCAGAATGCTCTTAGCAGTAGGAAATATAGAACTCAAGGGCCAAGGCATAAGTCCACCTCTCATCCACACTGATATTCTCCCTTAAATCAGAATTTTTTTCAAAACGATTATCCCACTAGAAGTCTAGAAGCATAAAGCATTGCCTGATCTTGATCTATAATCAGTATACTTGCAATTCTTGCAATTCTCGAGCCTTTATTGTTTTCTACAACAAATATCTACATGCAAATACCAATTCTAGTTAATATCATTTCCTGGAATTAGATAGCCGAAACTGTTCTTGGACTTCTGCAGCTCAAAAAATCATTTGAAAACAGAGAAAAATTTGCTCGAGTAAGGGATACGTAATCAATTCCATTTCTACATTAGCAATTAGCTTAATCTTGCAATAAGTGTCATTTTCTTGTCTTATCTAGCCATTTAGTACTAAATCTGCAGAAATAAAGTTTTCATCTCTGCTGCCAATATTACAAAGAAAGCTAACCCTGAACAACTACTTTCCAACGTTTCTGTCATCCAGCTATCAATATGGATCTAATTATGGACAGATTCCCTAATTACAGATTCCCCTTTCCCCTCTCTTTTCCATTTCCTAGTTAGGCATGATTTTGTAATTATAGAGGAGTGATTATTGTAACTGTAGCATGATTAGTGTAATAATTAGCGTGATTAGTGTAATGGCTAAGATTGAACCTTGTAATCAGAAACACACACACATTATATAATGCAAGTAACTCTCGTTTGGAGAGGTATTGAAAACCAAATCGAGTTTTGCTGATATGGTATCAGAGCCTTCACTCTGAAAGAAAATTTTTCTGGTATTTTTTATTGTTTTGGGCTTGGCTGTAAGGCTCAAAATCGTTTTAGGGACTCACCTGCAGATCACTCACTATGGTAGCCATCAAATTTCTATGCAGTCTCTGTGAAGGAGTTGTTGGGGGTGAACTCAACGTGAATTCCGCCCATCTTTGTGTCGTCGACTTCGGCTAATTGTGTTGGAGAGACTTGTGATAGGCGGTGGTCACTCCTATTTCCAGTTTCGGTGGACGAGCTCCGGAGAGACGACTTTTGCTGCCAACAATAACTGCCGTCGATAGGTCTTAGGTTCGGTCAGAGTTCTCTGGTGTCGAGAAGGAGGGACAGCAAATCGGCAGTCTTGGCACCTCCATTCCTGTCTTCCTTCGTCGTTGATTGTTAGGGCTTGGGTGAAGTATATTACCAATTGGACTTTATTTCTAATTAGGCCAAACCAGTTGACTGAAGTGGTCCTCTAATTGGGTGTTTCTCTTGGGCCAAACTAAATTTGGGCTCGAGTTATTGAACTTATTGCCACTAATTAAAATATGTTGGGCTTGTGTGTTATTTTTTTAATTATGTCAACTAGAAATTCATAGTTTTTTGGTTGGAAATTCATAATTTTTTTGGTGTGAAATTCGCTGGAAAAAATTATTCTGCCTAGGAATTTCAATTTCATTTATTTGTTACTGGGAAGCAATTGTGGGTTCAATTTGATGGGAGTGATTCTGCTCCCAAAGATTCTAAAGAATTGGCAAATTGGGAAATTAAAGATGCTCGGGTTATGACTTGGATTTTAGCATCTATTAACCCTATGATTGTTCTAAATCTAAAGCCGTACAAGACTGCTAAATGTGTGGGAATATTTGAAGAAAGTTTACCACCAAGACAATACAGCACGACGATTTCAAATGGAGTCTGAAATTGCTAGTTATTCTCAAGCCGATAAATCCATTCAAGAGTATTATTCTAGGTTTCAAATCTTGTGAGCAGAATATACCGATATGATTTATTCTAAGGTACCAAATGCCTCTTTTGGTGCAGTTCAAGAAGTACATGAACAGAGCAAGAGAGATCAGTTCTTAATGAAGTTGCGGCCTGAGTTCGAGGCAGCTTGATCTAGTTTGATGAATCACCATCCAACTCCTTCTTTGGACGTGTGCTTTGGAGAGTTACTTCGGGAGGAACAACGTCTTGCTACACAAGCCAATTACCAGCAAGACAAACCACCAATTAATACAGTTACCTATGCTGCTCAAGGGAAAGGTAGGGGTAGAGACATGCGAAAGGTCCAATGGTTTAGTTGCAAGGAATATGGACATATAAGCTGTCCATCGTGGAAAGAAATATTGTAACTATTGCAAGAAATCAGGGCATATAATTAAAGAATGCACCACTCGTCCTCAGAACCGTCAGGCTGTTGCGTATCAGGCTACAGTTAGTACTTCCCCTGCTAGTAACTAATATGTCCTTACTCCTAAGATAGTTCAGCAGATGATTATTTTGGCCTTCTCGTCCTTGGGCCTTCAAGGTAAGGGTTCTCTACCATCATTATCATGGCTTATTGATCCTGATG